TTTACTGCAGAATTTCAAAATTAGGAGGACTCCCAAGAAACTGATCAACGAGAGAATGCTTCTAAGAAGAAATGCCCTCATTTAACACTTCCGCCGGCGGTCGTACCGTCACATAACCCTCACGAACCTCCGGATGAAAAAACGTTAACGAATGGTCTTGTGAAGCTTTAAAGAGACCACACCAATCCATCGAACCAGTAACCCCACAGAGAACAAGAGCAAGCAAAACCAGCAAGAGAAGCTCAGTCGACCCCCAGAAAAATCACGACCACCATAAGGGTTAACAATTCATCATATATAAAGATTTTCTTTCTGTTTCTTGTGTTTTTACTAATTATAAAAAATAATAACAAATAACATATTGTAAATCAAAAGAAATAAACAAGTAAACACACCATACATACAAATAGGGGAGGAAATCCATTACATACAAATAGGATACAAAAGGATAACGAAATCATACAAAAAACAACCTAGGAAAATCATGTATGTATATATATATATATATAAATGCTGGTCTTTATCAAGAGAATCTTTAGGATATAAATCATTCAATAGAGCAATCTCATAAAAATAACATTTATAAAAAAAAATCAATAATTTATGCAAGTTGAAGATGAATGGATGAGCATATAGTGGAGATAATATATGATATAGTCACATTCATTCATGTCGCTGACATATACATCAATTATGTTATTGTTTTTATTGATAACTTTTGGCTTTTCCCACACCATGATATTTGAGTTTTGAAATAATTTGTAATGTAAAAATTTAATTAATCTTATTTAATTGATAAAAATTATATATTAATATAATATATATATAAATAAGTATTTTTTTAATAAAAATATAAGTGTTTTTGTTGATAATTTTATTACTTCAGTGATATTCAAGATTTAAATTTTATTTTTTAATTCAACATCATCTTAAGCAAAAGTCTTTTTCTTTTATCTATTGCAGTTAAAGCAGTTATCACTTAGGCAACGACGGTGGTTTTGCTCCGCCACTCCCTTGTCATCTGTCCCTTTTTATTTTCTAGTCGATAAATTTTCGATTTTATTAGTTTTCAGTTGTATTTTATTATATTTCTAATAATGTGTTTTTTTGTTTTTTTGGTAAAGGTTGTAATGGTTATCGGTGTCTTTGAACTCCCGGTATAAATTTCTTCTATTGATCTTCTTTTTGATTTACTGTTCTACCGGTTTCATTGGTTGCTTGTTTTCTTGATGCATGGGCGTTTGTATATGATATTTCATTGGTTTTCGAATATATTTGTCAGATAAGATTGCAGTTAAGGGGATATTAACTTTTCAGTCAACTACTTTGGATGCTTTTCAAGATCCCCTTTATATCTGGTGCTTAGGGACATTGGAGTAATATATTTTTGTATGTCGTTGTCTCAACTATTCACGTTTTTTCTTATTAGACTGTCATTAGTCGTTCATCGTTATATTTTGCTTATAATTATCCTGAATGTATGTATGCTATTATTTTACATGATGCCCATTATGGTTAATGCAATCGACATACCTATTTCGAAAAAAAATACTTTTTAGTCATTTTTAATTATAAAAATATTTTAAACTAATCATGTGATTTCAATGGGTAAATGGACTACTGTTCTTTTTCAAAAATTTTGGGTTCTAGAGCATATAGGAATATATATGCATTGTCAATAACTAAGAAAATCTTAAATAAATATAATTATTTTAATGCATCAATTAATAATATTATAGAGGTGGTTTTACAAAAAATCATAAATGGATAATTAAATTAAATTTTAAATAAAAAAGATATTAAAATCAAAATTAGATTAAAACGAAAAATATAAACTTTAAAAACTGGGTGGAAATCATTGGCACCATAATCTCTCCAAGGAACCTAATGTGGTGTTTGGTTGGCATAAATCTCTTGGAATTTGAATCCAATTTCATCACTTTCTCATATTTGGTTCAAGTTTTCCAAGGGAATTAGAATCTCTCATGGCTTCAACTTTCCATCAAATAAGAGAAATTGAATTCTCTCATGGATGGAATTCAATTCCCTTGTTGGAGGGAATTGAAATTTGACCATACTACCCTCATCAATCTTTTGGTAACTTATTCATATATTAAATAAAAATATTTTTTTATTATTTTGGGTCAGGTTTCTAATTCATATATTCGGGTCGGGTGAAACTTTATTTTGGTCGGGTCGGGTCGGTTTTTTTAAGTGTGATATTCGGGTCGGGTCGAGTTCGGGTTTAGGGTGAAAAATATCCTACCCGAAAATATATATAATTTTACCTTATATATTTAGGAATAATTACAATAATACCCCTCTATATATTTTTTTCAATTAAGTCAATGTTTTTATTGAATAAAAATATTTTTTTATTATTTCGGGTCGGGTCGGGTCGGATTTCTAATTCATATATTCGGGTCGGGTCGGGTGAAACTTTATTTTGTTCGGGTCGGTGTTTTAAGTGTGATATTCGGGTCGGGTTTTTTAAGTGTGATATTCGGGTCGGGTCGGGTTTTTTAAGTATGATATTCAGGTCGGGTCGGGTTCGAGTTTAGGGTAAAAAAAACCGGACCCGACCCGAAAAAAATATAATTTTACCTTATATATTTAGGAATAATTACAATAATACCCCACTATATATAATTTTTTTCAATTAAGTCAATGTTTTTATTGAATAAAAATAATTTTTTTATTATTTCGTGTCGTGTTGGGTCGGGTTTCTAATTCATATATTGAATAAAAATAGTTTTCGGTATATTTTTTTGTAACTAATTAACATACTCCGATTGGAATGTATCGAAATATTGCTCTATCTTTTGGTAACTTATTAACATATTTTGATTGCGATAATTTTAACTTATGATGTTTATTAGCATGATTTTTATAATTTATTGAAATGAATAATCAATCAATAAAATGAAAATTTAATATTTTTTTAATTTTTTATAATATATTACTACATGTAAGTTGTAAAACAAAACAAAATAAAGAAAAAAAATAATAAGGGCAATTATGTCATTTTACATTACTAAAATCAAATTCATCTGACATGTCTGCGAACCAAACAGAATATGGAATTGGATTCTAATTCCAGTTCCTGCCAACCAAACAGAATATAGAATTGGATTCCAATTCCTGACAGATTTCAATTCCTTCACAGATTTCAATTCCCTCAGAAACATTCCAACGAACCAAACGTCACCTAAAGTTATTCCATCGGTTTATTTAGTCCAATAACATTAGTTGATAAATTTATTAACCTTATAGCGTCTCTCAAAGCTTATTCTGAAGTTTACGGTATTTATTATACTGAAAGACAAATTCATCATGTGAAAGTGATGACTTCTAAGATAATATTTTTACTCAAATTTATCATGTGAACATAGCGAGTTCTAAAAAATATATAACTTTTTAATTAAAATCTGTCACATCAAGTTAACAAAATTTTAATAAAAAAATATAATTTTTTAGAACTCATCAGATTTACGTGACAAATTCATGACACTAATAAATATTGTAGATTACTAATTAATTTTTTATTCATCCTAAAAACGTGAATAATTATTGCGCAAGCTATTATTTTGCCTTATTCCGTCTCCATCTGTTTGAAATCGCCAATAAATGACATTAAAAAAAAGGGGTAAATTACGTATTTATTATTCAAACTATAAGTTTTTATTTGTGTTAGTACTTAAACATTTATTTTTTTTAAATTCATATTTAATATTTAGTTTTTGTTTTATTTTAGTACTCCACTGTTAGAAACTTAAATTATTTAGTACTTAAACTATCAGTTTCGGTCTATCTTAATACCTAAACTTTCATTTTTTTCTAAAAAATTAACGTTAAATTTTGAACATGACTACTAAAATGAAATAAAAATTAAACTTTAAGTATGATTTAAAAAAAATTAAAAGTTTAGGTGTTAAAATGAAACAAAACTAATAATTTAAGTACTAAATACGAAATTTACTCAAAACAAATTTACCAGGGAAAATATAAAAATTGATGGAGTTCAATTTATGAAATAATTCAGTACCATAAAGAAGGGTGGTGCTAAGGAAATGTTATATTGAAAATGTTAATGTTTTTTAAATATTTTTAGATAAAGTGTTATTTAAAATATTATTTTTTATTGAAAATGTTAATTTCGTTAACAAATTTTCAGTATAACCTAATATTAATATTTTTGGTATTAAAAATAATGTTTTAGGTAACACTTTATCAAAAATATTAAACATTTTAAGTAACGCCTAATATTAATTTTTTTGACAAAAAAAATAATATTTTAAATAATAATTTACTAAAAATATTAAAAAATATATTAATATTTTCAGTAATATCATTCGTTAGGTATATATTAATACTACCGTAATATCTGTAAAGAAGAGGGAAAAAAGATTCTTTTTGATTCCTGGTGGGTATTGTAATAAGTAGAGATCTTCCCCTTTTTCTTTTTTCTTTAAAAAAAAGTGAAAAATAGGGGATTCAGGGATGGCCAGAAGGTAGTGTTACAAGTTACAACGAGGTTCTGCCATTAGGAATGATAACTGGTCAGGTTCGGGCGGATTTTGCTCGTCTCGTCTCCGAATTCGAAATGAATTCCCGTCTCCGACTTGATCCCTGACGAATTTTTTATCGGGGAGTCCCGTCGGAGATTTTTTTGCTCTGTCCCCAAACCCGACCTGAAATATTATATCCGAACCCAAACCCGAAAATATTTTATATATAATTAATATATAAAATATTATATATTATATATATAATTAATATAAAAAATATAAAATATTATATATATATATATATATAATCAGGGCGGGGCGGGAATACCTTGCCTCGAACTCGACCCGAAAAAATCTCCGAAAAAAATCTCCGATACTCGAACCGACCCGACATTATTCAACCCGATCCGACCGGAACTTGATCGGGTTTCGAGTTTCCCCGTCGGGTTCGGGTCATACTGCCATCCCTATATTCCATTAACATCAATGGCTGGAGTAGAGGTCGCAAATGTAGGGTTAAACATTCTATTCAAAGATGCAACTTCATAGGGGATGAACCACTTCATCTTCATCTCTTACTCTTATGCTCTTGGAGCCCTTCTCCTCCTCCCTTTATCCTTCTTCTTCTTTCCCAGGTCATCTTTTTTTCTTAACTTCATCCAGTTTTCACTTATGAAATTTTCATTGTTTCTAATGCAGTAGAGCAGTTCTTCCGCCTTTGAAATTCCACCTGGGCGCTAGAATTTTCCTTCTTGGGCTTATTGGGTATTTGATTGAGTCTCTATTTTCTCTTCTTACGTGTTCACATATATATTATAAAAGATTTCACACATATATTATAAAAGATTTGAAGAAGAATTTTTTTTTTCTCTGGGTGCAGGTTTTCGGCTCAAATATGCGCTTGTAAGGGTATAAATCATAGCTCCCCAACTCTTGCTTCTGCAATCCATTATCTGTCACCAGCTTTTACTTTTATACTTGCTGTTATTTTCAGGTTTCTTCCTTCTTCTAATCCTCTATAAAACCAAAATCAATTCTATTGAATTCAACTTGACTTCTATTTGTTTTTGTTTCTTAAGTTTGAGTTTACTGTGCATCATATTTAACAAGATTATTTCTACCTTTCATTTGATACCATAATTTACAAGATTGGAAACAGTTGCCTTGAGAAGCTCCAGCAGTCGAGCTAAAATCATGGGGACCATATCATCAATTTCGGGTGCATTACTAGTCGTTCTTTACAAAGGCCCCACAGTTTTTCACCCTCCATCATCATCTCCCGGTTCACTTCAACGGCCCCTGCAATCGTCAGATCCAAATTGGGTCACTGGTGGAATCTTACTTTTTGTTGGTGTCGTAACCAATTTTTGCCCGGACAAGAAGTTTTACTTAGCCGGAAAACTAAAATGAATAAATAAATGATTTTGATTTAAAAAAATGTTTTGGGAGTCGCCATCAACCTTTTTAGGTTAAGTAGGTCGAATACCTAAAAATTATATTTTAAAAGAGTTTTTAAGAAAACATTAGTTAAAAGATAAAATGATCTGCGTTTAACCAAAAATCCATTCTTTTTAGAAATAAAAAAGGATTCGTAGTCGATTACGTTTAGGGAAGGATTAACACCCCTATAACGCTCAAAATTGGTACTCATTAATTATAAATTGTCTCTATTATTAGAAATTTAAAAATTCAAAAATAAATTTAATTCATAATCTTGTTATTTCAAATTTATTAATATAATTTTAAGAAAATATATTAATATCTATATTTTTTTTATAAATAAGATATTTATTTACTTAGAAACATCAGAAAATGACTTCTAGGTGCTTTAAGACAGCCAATTTCTTAATATTAAAAAATAAATAAATATTAATAAAATATTTCTCTAAAAATAATTAAAATAAATTAATATATATAATTTATAAAAATTGAATATTTATTTATTTAAGAATATCAGAAAATGACTTCTAGATGCTTTAAGACAACTCATTTCTTAATATTAGTAAATAAATAAATACTAATAAAATATTTCTCTAAAAATAATTAAACTAAATTAATATATATAATTTATAAAAGTAAGATATTTATTTATTTAAAAAATAAGAAAATGAACATCTAGTTGTTTTAAGACTGCCATTTCTTAATATTGAAAAATAAATATATATTAAAATATGATTAAAAGTAATTTATAAAATTAAATTTATAAATAGGATTTTAATAGAAAACAAACAAATAGAATAAATAAATAAATATTATATATGTATAGTTATATGACTTAAGATAATAATAATGAAAATAATAATTTAAACATATATCAAAGATAATAATAAAACAAAATGAAATAATAATAATCAAAATGAAAGAAATTAAAAGCAACAATATTAAAATGCAAAATATATTAAATGAAAAATATCAAACTGTTAGGAATTAAAATATAAAATATATAAATTAATGGCCCTTATTCAAAGTATTATAAAAATATAATTACTAATAGTGTAATTAACCTTTAATTATTAAATAATGATTAAAATAAAATTTATCAAAATTAAAGGCTCTAACTCGAATAAATAAATAAATCTAAGTGCTAATAAAGTAATTTAGCCTTATTTAATTAATTCGGGTTAAAATATAAATTATAAAAATTATAAGGGGCTAATATAATATTTACCCTAAATATTTATAAATAAGGTAGTGACTAAATTATAAATAAAGAAAAATTAAAAGACAAAATTAAAACGTGTAAAAATTTAATTTAGTAACTAAAATGGAATTTTATAAAATATGAATGGTCGCGGAAAGGATTTACCAATATAAAATTATAGACAGGCCCCTCCCCAAAACGATGTCGTTCGGGGAGGGTATTTAAACCCAAAAACCGGCCTCCCTAGGTCAGTTTCTTTCATTTTCTGGTTTTTGCTTCTCTCTCTAAAGAGAGAGAAGCTCTCATCTTCCATTGCTAGAGAGAAAACTGGCCACCGACCGGTAGCTATTTTCTGGCACCGACACTCCCACCAGTGGTCGAAATTTACAAATTACCCCAAATCATCCATATTTAAACCCTAAAGCCAAATTCGATACCCTTTTCTCCTAAAAACCCTTAGTATTTCCTAGATCTAAGGAAAATACCTTCGGTATTTTAATGGTTCGACGAAGATTTGGAGGATTCTGATGGTTGAGGTAAGTTCCTTCTATTTCTTCTCTTTTTCTTTTCGGTTTGATGTTGTGGGCTCTGTTTATTTGCCGTTGGTTGCTCTCGTCTCTGTTGTTTTTTTTGCTTGTTTGGTGGTTCTTCTTCTTTGGTTTCACAGGTGTGGTGGATTTTATAGCCACCACCAAGGATGCTCTCGGATCGGTCCCAGAGATGAGCTGTGGTGACTCACCGAAGAATGGGACGCGTGGACGGCTGAAATGACTCTTCTAGGAGCTTCAACGGGCGTCGTGCCAGCAACGTTAGAGGCGGCGACTGCTTGGTAGTAGTGGAATCGGCGACGTGGCCCTAGGGTGATGATACCCTAGGGTTTCCTGCTGGACTCGTTTGGGCCGTCGGATCTGATATTGGTTGGCGGCTGGGATGAGATGGAAACCCTAATATGGTTTTAGGGTTTGGCTTGGCCATATGGGTTGGTTTTGATTGGGCATGGGCATGTAAACGGGCTCTGGGTTTTGGGCCTGCTTTTTTATTTAATAATAATAATATATATAATATAATAATAATAATAATAATAATAATATGAAAATGAAAAATTAATGTCTACAGCTGCCCTTCTTTGCTCATTCTTGTGTTAAAAAGAATAGAGCAAAGACGAAAAAGACAATAATTTTTCATTTGACTTCTTTTGAGTATGATGGAAGTGTTGAAAACATCATACACTGAAGGGCTTACAGATGACCCGAAGGTTTTGAAAACATCATGCATCGAAGGGCTTACAGATGACCCGAAGGTTTTGAAAACATCATGCACTGAAGGGCTTACAGATGACCCGAAGGTTTTGAAAACATCATGCACTGAAGGGCTTACAGATGACCCGAAGGTTTTGAAAACATCAAAAAGCTCCCGAAGGCTTTTTGAAAACATCATGCACTGAAGGGCATACAGATGTGGGAAATAGTTTACTAAGTAAGAAAGTATGGAAATCGTTTTCTTACTATTTAACAATTTCATTTTTAGAAAAGATTAAATGAGAAATTTTGGAAATCATTTTCTCATTGTTCAAAATAACTTGTTGATTGGGTAACATGCCCCATTTCAAAATAATGTTTCTTCTGTGGATTGCGTCCATCTATTCTTCAGATGTTTGCATGATTCCTGCATTCGAGGTTTTGAATTCCACCTTCTTCTTCTAAGGTATTTTCCATCATGAATCTTATTTTTCATACGAAAATCTGAAAAAAAACCTAATGCTTGAATGCAATCAAATGTATTGATGTAATGAATTGTTTATTGTGCAAATGATGTTCTTATAAATGAATGAATGTTGATGCAACTTCATTTGACTTCAAAGTGGTGAACTTGGTCTTCCTTCACTTCATCATTTATTTCCAGGGTTGCCTTTGGATATCAGTGTAGCAACTTATCCTATCAAGCTTGCATTTCTGAAAAACCATCTGATCAGTTGCATCTTCGTCTTCTTTGTTTCATGAAAGTCTTAGAAGAATGTTTCATTTATGGAACTCTTGTCGTAATCAGAATTATGACCTGGATGCCCCCTTTTTGTCTTTGATAACATCGACTTTCTTTGCTTGGACTTGCTTTCATCTTTGAAAAGAGAATCTATCATCTTTGAAGAGATAAATCTATTATCTTTGAAGGATGTAGATGTAGATATGCTTGACTCAGCAAATTAATTATGATAGTAGAATCTGTTCTAATCTGACTCTTGAAACACATCATAAGGAGGATTTATCCTAATTCCTTTCTTGTCTCCACATCTAATTGGATCTCGAAAAAGGTAACTTGGACCATATCATGTCGAGATGCTTAACAATAACTTATCGTTCAACCTTAGTTGGCTCCACCAGTTTTTTGTTCTTAAAATTTATGCTTCCTTTCTGTGGAAAGAAATCTTGATCATATCTTACTTCTGACTTTGGGGTTGAAGAAGACAAACCTTATATTTAATCAACACCATATGATCGCATCATTGGTTCAGCATCATAATAACTGGTTTGTAAAATATTTGACAATCCATTTATCATCTCATGTGGTTTCTGCTCAGATGCTAGTAAAACTTTTGACAATACATTCATCATCTCATGTGGTTTATGCTCAAATGCTGGTAAAGCATTTGACAACACATTCATTATCTCCTGTGGCTTCTGCCCAGATTTCTCATCAGTGAAGCTCTTTCATAGTGTTCAAAGCTTTTGTATGATGTCACCAGATCAATTGAGAACAAAACTCAATGGGAATACAAATGGGATGCTGGAGTGTTTCATGACCCAAAAAGTTGGTCAAATTCACAAAATATGCTAGTGTCGAATTGAATAAGAGACACTAACTGATTTTGATATCGTCTCGAGAAAAGGCAAAGTGTGATACTGATCACGTTTTCTTCCATAACGAGCGTTGTAGGAAGTAGAAACACATCAGCTAAGGATCCATGTACAAAAAGAGGTTCATGGAATTCTTGTTTCTGTAGATGAAACGTACATGATAAACCAAACAGGTGAAAACTTAGTTCAACCTGGCTGGCACTGATAACCCTAGTAACAACGGGAATAATAATAATATAAGTTGAGCCTCTTTATTCAATGTCATCAAGTAAGCGAAAACTGTTGTGAAAAACATCTTCATAGCCCCAACAATATGATTGAAACTAACTGCAATGAATCTTAAAGAAATATTTCCAATCATCACCGACACATAGAAATACAAAATTCAAAGACGATATTTTGATGAACTGAACCGTGGATCGAATAGTTTGCCTGGGGACCACATTTATCCATGCAA